CAGTGTGGAAAGGCGTTATCAATGGAGTCCGGACCAATCAGTGTGGAAAGGAATTATCAATGGAGTCCGGACAAAACAGTGTGGAAAGGCATTATCAATGGAGTCCGGACCAAACAGTGTGGAAAGGCATTATCAATGGAGTCCAGACCAAACAGTGTGGAAAGGCATTATCAATGGAGTCCGGACCAAACAGTGTAGAAAGGCATTATCAATGGAGTCCAGACCAAACAGTGTGGAAAGGCATTATCAATGGAGTCCGGACCAAACAGTGTGGAAAGGCATTATCAATGGAGTCCAGACCAACCACAGAGAGGTCGAAAGATGATGATGCTGATGAGTTTATTAAAATTTTGGTTCGTGAATTTAGAGACTTAGTAACTATGAGTATAAATCCGGATAATATGTACTTAGTCTCAGTGAAATCAGGGTGAAAAGCAATTGAACACTATGAAAAATAACAACGAGACGAGATAGACATGGGCAATGGTACGGAAACAATCTACCGCCGAAAAATTGTGATAGCAACAACAACGATAAGGACAGTAGTCCGCGTGTAAATAGTGTAAATAATTACATATTAAATTTTGAAATTAAATTAAAAGACTACTTTCTGTTTTGAAACCGGTAACGTCCTTCGTATTTAGATCACAGCATATTAAATTTTGAAATTAAATTAAAAGGCTAATTTCTGACCTGAAAGCGGTAACGTCCTTAGTATTTAGATCACAGCATATTAAATTTTGAAATTAAATTAAAAGGCTATTTTCTGTTCTGAAAGCGGTAACGTCCTTAGTATTTAGATCACAGCGTATTAAATTTTGAAATTAAATTAAAAGGCTAATTTCTGGTGTGAAAGCGGTAACGTCCTTAGTATTTCGATCACAGCTTGGAAGTTATTAATGTATAGAGAGAAGTAAGCAATTCAAACATTTTAGTAGTATATTTTGAAAATGTAACAAGTACTATGTTTTATGATGTAACAAGTTGCATATGAAATAAACAGCTACCACATACTTTAATTATGAGTTTTGCTAATACTGTTTTAGAGCAATTGCATATCTCACAAAGAAAGAAACGCGTGACCTGTCCCGGGCAATCGCAGGTATCATTGCTTATATTAAATAAAACTCGTTTCCGTTCCTGAAACTTTATGCTAAATCAAGTCAGGATGATTTGAGTTATGTATTCGGCAATTTTGTTTGATCATAAGTAAAGTCATGGCTGTTGTGATGAAAGAACACGTTACCGATATTCGGTAAAAATAAATAAATAAATAAATAAATGAAAGCACGTCAACAATTAAATACATGACGCAAAATCCCATGACCAACTAAGTACACGTCGTGCAGGTGTGGATTTTGACAATGAGCGCATACATATAAAGCTACCTCTGTAAGCAAAAGCCTATTCGGGGAAAGTTTAAAAAAATATTAAGCCCAAACTCCAGGGGTCCTTCTCCTGGAGTAGTACCTCTCCTTCAGGAGGATTCTGGGTTTATTTTCCGGTGATTGAGATGTCCCAAAAAGGGGAAATGCTAAGGCCCCCTGGGGTAGTTTTTCCCTTGGTCAATTTTGCTACGATATTGCCGTTAAGCCCACTTTAATCTGACCTTTTTTCAGATTCGGTAGCGACCTGGGCACAGTAAAAATACCCATATAAAGCTACCCATAAGCATGTAGGCTCTTGTTGCGTTGCGTGTCATATCTAGCTTCTTGTTGTCTCTATGCAATTACTCAAACCCCAGCGCTGCATTCTCTGACTGGATCAACAACGGAAATTTTTCTTAGTTTTCTTTTCCCCACTTTATTTTAGTGGGGCGGGTGCACATTAGTAATGTGATCGTTCCTTGGAAGAAGCGAGAGGGAGATGCAAACGGATGTAAACAGTTCGGTTAGCGCCTTGCTATTACCAAATGGTGGCTTGTCTCAGTCTGCTGAATCCTGGCATACCAAGAATCCTGGGATCGTACAGGCAACGTACTTCCAGTCTTCGCGCGTTTTTCGCTCTTATATAAAAATTGAAACAAGTACAATACTTCAGTGAAATATTCCACACACACGGGGTTCAGACCAACCCTAACTTAGTTCGGGTTATCAAAGTTCCGAAAAGAAGTTGGGGTGTTTGCCATTTCGGGGCTAGCATCCTTCTTTATCGTTTTCATGCGATCGAAATTAAGAAGACATTTTTCGGTGCTACTATAGTGTGATGTCTACCGAGGTATTTGCGACCTGCCGTAAATGACAATACACTCATTACTGATGGAAAATGCTCAGGAAAAACGATAAACTGTTTACTTTTTTTTAAACGGCATCATATCAGTTTACAAATATTAAAATCTCTATCTGATTTTTTTTACTTTTTTTGTATAAAAAATTGTTAATGATTTTTAATATATAACCTGTTGACTGTTCACTGCATTTAACCCTAACCTAACTCCTAACTCTAACCCCTAACCCTAACATATTTCATACTTCCAACAGTTGGTAAATATCATACCATATTAAAAAATGAATAGTAGATATCATACCATAGTAGAAAATGGTCCGTAGATATCATATGATAGTAGAAAATAAATGGTAGATATCATACCATAGTAGAAAATGAATGGTAGATGTTTTACCATAGTAGAAAATGAATGGTAAATAGCATACTATAGTAGAAAATGAATGGTAAATATAATACCATAGTAGAAAATGAATGGTAAATATCATACTATAGTAGAAAATGAGTGGTAAATATCATACCATAGTAAAAATGAATGGTAAATATCATACCATAGTAGAAAATGAATGGTAGATATACTATTGTAGCACCTTTTTTTTCTTTTTTTAAATAAACTTCGTGTAAATTGTTTGAGTTATCTTTTGCTCCCCACCCTCCCTTAATAGATAACGGGTTGGAATTGAAAATCGGAGAGCTGAGTTCCAATTCAAGTCGGGTTCGTTATATTTGCAAATACCCTTCTCCCCCCAACTATTGGTTAATTAGTAGGACTTGTATCAGTAACACATTATTATCTCTAAAAAATTCTTACAATCTAAAATATATTTTTGGCGTTAAATAACCTGCAAAAGTATTAGTCGTATCGTAAAACGGGTAGAGTTAAACGGGTAGATTATCGCTGGGGTTTGCGTGACAGAAACCATCATCAAGTATCCAGTACGTTTTATGGTGTAATTAATAATAGTATTAATAGTATCATAAAACGGGTAGAGTAACGGTTATCAGCGCGGGAAATGGAAACCAGTAAGCCGAGTTCAAATTCTAGCTGCGTCCGTTTTCGCACAAATCGCTTTGAGAAAGGCATGAACCCGACTTTTCTCCCCCGTAACTATGGGTTAAAATAACAGAGTAAACTGAGATATGTAGCTTTCGTTTGCAATCCCGAACGCTTTGTAATTCACTGATAATATAGGAAAGGAATCTCTGCAGAGCTACCAACCTGTTTTTGGTTTTTAGTGCCAGACCCCTATGCTGAAACAGTTTCTGAATCTTTTTTCTTAATTCTCCAAGAAATAGTAATTCATCCCAAAATTAAAAGAATTTATATTTACTAAACTTCACACCAAATTCTCCCAGAGCTGTAAAAAAAAAACAAATCATTTAACCATGTAAACATATTATGTTCTATAACTTTCATTATAATTTCCTATAAGTTCTATAACAATTATCATATTTTCCTATATCTCTTAAAATTTTCATTATAATTTCCTATAAGTTCTATAACTATTATCATATTTTCCTATATCTCTTAAAACTTTCATTATAATTTCCTATAAATCGTATAACTTCCATTATAATTTCCTATAAATCCTTATAATTTTAATCACAGCATATTATTATCATTGTTCTCTTTTATTATTTGGTATTGTTGTTAGACGCTTCGGTTTTCAACCATGAGTATCCATTTTGAATCACACCTTAGTCGATTTTTCAGGGGGTGGGGTGGCGTCTTGATGTTATCGGGCAAGGGGTGAACCCTGGATGCGATATCGTGGGAAAATCTTCTGAAATCGAGGTATTTTCCTTAAAATCCACGGTTACTTGCTCCCACTTTGGAAGTGTTAGCATCTACATGGTTGACCCAAACCTTGTAGACGAAGGATAACGGCCATATCAGGTTGAAACATCAGTTCCCGATCAACGTCGAGCCTGGTCAATGCCGAGATGGGTGACCCCTTGAAAGCTTGGGTGCCGAAAGCTTGGATATGGCGACAGTGTAATAGAAAAAAAAATTGTGGATGAAACCGCTAATGTTTTGTGCTAGCACGAAATGACAAGTCATCGTGACCGAGAGTCTGAACGTACTGGCGTTGTTCAAACCAAAGTCTTGATCATACCAGGTTAGGCGCTCTCTCCCAGAAACTGTTACTAAGGTCCGCTCAGCTTAGGAGTATAAACTATTGGTGTGCGTTGAAGAAACACCAATTTGCCTGAGCAGGCTTCAGCATCAGTAGATTGGCTTGCCGCCCTAGGAGACGCGTATCCTCGGAAACGAGAAACCGGCCATCATTATTTGTTTTATTAACGTTGTTGCTTATATCTTGCTTTAAGTCATACCTTTTGCTTCATTATTATAGATGCGAAAAATATAATATATTTGGATTCAGTGTCATACTTTGTTTGGATAACCCGTTAGAGGTCATGAAACAAATCTCCCATGTATAGGCTGAGGGGTCTACTGTGTATATTTAACTTACTGTATATACAATTCGATTGCATTTCACGTGTTCTGAGGCGCTTGGCGTTAAATTCTATTTGTCGTTCGCATTTACCTAATTGGATAAATAAGGTCGGATCATTTGAGCGAAAAGTTTTATTAAGAGCGTTATGCACTGAAATAATTGCAAATGACATTAAATAACTGACGTTGGTTGAACATCGTCAGAAAATCTAGAAGCTTCTTACTCTTGAAGTAGAAAAACAAAGAGATCGGTATAGACTGGTATGTAAGCGTATTGATTTATGTTGGTAGATCGATGGATACATATATACATATACTAATACATTCTATCATGTACTGATTTGATGCGTAAGTAATTAAATTGATCGATGCATGGCATGGGTACGTAAGTATATACAGACAGCTGTATGATAGATAGATAGATAGATAGATAGATAGATAGATAGATAGATAAAGAAATAGCAAAATTAGATAGATAGATAGATAGATAGATAGATAGATAGACATATATATGCATAGATATATATATTTTTACTAAATATATGGTACATACTGAATATAAAACCACCTTTAAATATTGAGATGCAACATATATGAATATGCTTATTTGTATATATATGTGCGTGTGCGTGCGCGTGCGTGTATGTGCGCGTGCGTGTGTGTGCGCGTTTTAATATGCATAAGTAAAATTTTTGATATAAATAAAAATATATTTGTAAAAAGCACAGTATAAATAAACACAAAAGCACAGTATAAATAAATACAAAGCACAGTATAAATAAACACAAAAGAAAGATTATCATAGATGACGCGTTTCTTTCTCTGATAGACTTTTGCCTTTGATAAAGTCCATCAGAGGACGAAACGCGTCGGCTAAGGTAAATTTTCTTTTTGCCTTTTTTTGCAAACACACACACACACACACACACACACACACACACACACACATACATATATGTAAATAGTAAAATTAGATAATAAATAGAAAAATTAGATAGATAGATAGATAGATAGATAGATAGTAGAAAGAAAATAGTAAAATTAGATAGATAGAAAAATAGCAAAATTAGATAGATAGATAGATAGACCATGGCAAAATAACATAGATAGATAGATAGATAGATAGATAGATAGATAAGAAATAGCAAAATTAGATGGATAGACAGATGAATAGACAGAAAAGAAAAAATTCGATAGATAGCGAAAGAGAGAGAGACAGACAGACAGAAAAAGATAGAAAAGAGCAAATTGAATAGATAGAGGGAGAGAGAAGGAGGGACAGAAACAGTAAAATTAGATAGATAGATAGATAGATAGATAGATAGATAGATAGATAGATAGATAGATAGAAACGAATTGGGGTGGATGTATAGGTTGCTAGTAAAAGATTAGCATACAAAAAACATAGAAAACTATGGTATAGATACATAGATTGGTGGAAAGAAACAGACATAGATAGATAGATAGATAGATAGATAGATAGATATGAACAGACATAGATAGATAATGTAGTGCGTAGACCTGCACGCTCCTTTTACACTCCACCGCTTGAACCAAGTTATATAATATATATATATATATATATATATATATATATATATATATATATATAATCCTCCGACATCTTATAGAGTTTTGGTCGTTTACAAAACTCCTAAGTTGTTCCACAACTTTTTTTAGGCGCTGTGACAGGCTTTGTATCGTCCTTATCGGGGCGGGACAGCAAAGCACCACCCTCTAAACAACAAGTAAAAAAACAACAACATCAACCACAAAATCAACACCATCAACCACAACAACAACAACCACACCATCAACACCACCACCAACAACAACAACAACTACAGCAGGCACAGTCTTCCCCCAGTGTCAGCCATGACGCCGGGCACCCTGGGGGAGGAGGCCAGCCAAGTCTTGAAAAGAAGTCCAAAATGGTGGACACGAGCAGGTTGTCCCAGTTGGGGCCGGGCCGCCTACCTGTTAGGTCCGAACTCTTATTGGATTCTCCACATGTCCATCACCCTCCAGGTGCCTCTCCACTGGATTCCAGCGGAACTTCCTACACCCCCAAATCATCATCAAGCATGGGGCCCATTACAAAGTTGGTCAGCTTAGATTTTGAGATCCACCATCACCCAGATAAAGGCAATATTCAATCGCTTAATGACATCGACGTCCGGCTAGAAACGATCAATCAGTAAGTTGAAACATTTTCTTTTTTTCTCTTTTCTTTTTTGCTTGTGTCGTTCTCTTTCCTCTTTTTTCTTTTTTCTCTTTTCTTTTTTCTCTTTTCTGTTTTGCTTGTGTCGTTCTCTTTCCTCTTTTTTCTTATTTCTCTTTCTTTCTTGTCTCACCAAATACAAAAATCATTTTTTTCAGATGATGAAAACATATTGCAAAATAAATTTGCATTATTTAAATCCGTGTTTCTCAACCGTTTCTTCCTTGTGGCCCGTTTTTTGATGTTAAAAAAATATTTCAGGCCCACATGAGCACAAATAGAAATGCCATGTAACAATAAATATATTTTATTTTGAAAAGCAAAATGTACTTCAGTTATGTGCCATGCGTGATACACGCTAGGCGATCATTTATCTTTCGATACATGACTGACGAGGCAGATTTTTTTCCCGAAGTACGTTGCCATTTCTTTCTGCGGTAGACTAGTTGACATCCAAGGCTATAGAACCGGGTTTGTCCTGCTATTTACCTATAGCTGGGCGGGGGGGAGAAGGAGAGGATTCATACCTTTCCCTAGGCGATCATGCATCTTTCGATACATGACTGACGAGGCAGAGTTTTTCCCGCAGTAGGTTGCCATTTAATTCTGAGATAGGCTAGTTGCCTTCCAAGGCTATAGAACTGGGTTTGCCCTGCTGTTTATCCATAGCCGGGGTGGGTGGGGGAGAAGAAGAGGATTCATACCTTTCTAAAGAGCATTAGCACGTAAGTGAATTTCAGTCAGTTATGTGACATGCGTGATACATGACTGACGAGATATATTTTTTTCCCGCAGTAGGTTGCCATTTCTTTCTGCGGTAGACCAGTTGTCATTCAAAGTTGCATAACCCGGTCTGTCCTGCTATTTACCCATAACTGGAGAGGGGGGGTGAAAGAGAAGAAGAGGATTCATACCTTTCCTAAGGGTAATAGTACATAAGTGAATATCATGTAGCAGAAAAGATAAATCCTGACTAATGACTACAGTGCTCTTGATGTCTACCTCTCAGCTTGTCAAGCCGAAATTCCATGCCTTGTTTCGGCTTCAGACGTAAATATCCTTTCTTTTCAATCCATACCTCCAGGCCCATTTTAAACATCTCTCAAGCCCCCTTGTGAGTCTAAGGGCCTACGTTCAGAATGTTTAGTTTAATGATCCTCATTATGTGTCCTTTATTTTACACCGGGTTATAAATTTTAAAAATAGGATACAGAATCCCGACAGAGTTTTTAAGAAATTTGACAAATGGATAACGTTTCATTGAAAATAGATTTGATTACGCGTTTCACCATTCAAGGCTTCATCAGACCGAAAAAACATTTTCAATCAATGTCTTGATTTGGTCGTCATCTGTAGTCAGGATTTTGCCTGAGCTTTCTTCATCAATAAGGCTACAATAATCAATCCTAAATTTAGCGAACCAGTTCCGTTCAGTTCTGTCAGCTAAAACACCTTCACCGTATACAGCATATATATTTCTTTGTTGCTTGCGAGTCATTTATATCTTTTCGGTAGAAAAAGGCATCAATTGTCTAAAACTCACCTTATAACCTTCCATTTTCATAAGAATGCAAAATTGACACGAATTTTGCCCATACGAGTACATATAGGTTAAGTATATATAACTTTTGACCAGTTCTGCCTACATAGTCAGTATCACACTGACATTGGATTTATAATTTAAAATTTATAATTTCTTGGCGTGTATTAATATTTGCAATAAAAAACTTTACATTATTTGGAGTGAATTAACGACAAAGATACCTGATCCTGAAGGTTGTTCAGTCTACCCATCATATTAATTCTGTAATTTATAAATTCAATGTCAGTGTGCTGCTGACTATATAGGCAGAACTGGTTAAAAGTTATATATCCTTTAACCTGTCTGGTCACTTCACTATAAACCATGTATCTCGTTCTTATCACAGTGGGGAGGTAGGTAAATAGCTGTTTGAAGTGTAGTATCTGTTCTTCTCTGTCGCATTTACGTACTACGGTACAAGAAATCAACACAATGCCCCAGCCTTCAGGTAATGTGTTGCAATGAATCTATTCCCGAGTATTTCAACCCTACCGGTAGCACCAACTTCATTGCAACAACGAGGGGGGGGTGTTGCGGGATTTGGCTGCCATTAGTCAGGAGGTTAGAGGACTTTTTTTTTGTTCTTTGCCATTATGCACGCAAATGGCTTCCCACAAAGCGAAACCGATAATATAACGATAAAGCGGCTATAGGCGAAAGCTGTTAACACAACCAAATTTGCAGTAATATAACATTTCGCAAACAATATGATATCCTCTGAAAAATGATTTTTAACTGTTTGTATCTTTGTATTTATTACTTATCCCAGATTTTCCTGGATTTGTTGTCAGTATTATCCTTCTCCTCTGATAGTTGGGAGTGTTTTATTCTAAACTCATTGTATCCGAGAAGGGTTTTAATACACGGAATCAGCAAAACGACTCTTTTTAATCAGTTCACCCCAAGCAAGGCGATAAAGCAACTAAGACGCAACTGGCTGCTGAGAATGAAATAAACTGAGAAATCTTTAGCTAGGAGAAAGTGCCAACAAGAAAAAGCAGAATTAAAAAAAAATATACAAGATGGCGATTGACGTTGCATTTAAATTTTGTAGATCGTCGTTGACAGAAAAGCAAAAAACCGGAAGAGAGTTCCACAGGCGAGAAGTGCGAGAGAAGAATCTATTAGAATTGAACTTACGGTTAGATTTAACAACATCAACAATAAAATAATGAGACCTACCTGTCCATCTAGCACTAGGCATGCAGCCGAGGTACCAAGATCATTAGAACTGAAAGTATTCATACAAAGGGCGCAGGAAAGCTACATTCAAGTGGTGAGAACGTGACTGAAGCTGTGTTGCCAGGACAGGACCGGTAAAATTGCAGATTCTTCTTTGGATATTTCCACGAATCTCTGGATACATGGTATAAGCAGAAGAACCGATATTACATCAAAATTCAACACACAGATGAATGGTAAGCTTATAATAATGAAAGACAGAGTCTGGTCTCGCAAATGAGGATTCAATCACTTGAATTCATATCAGTCGAAAACCTTAAACAAAGAAGGCACAATGACTTACTATACTGGAGGTTAGTATCAGCCATGATGATGGAAAGTAAAAGAAGGTAATTGAAAACAATTAAAAGAGTCCTGTTTAGTTTTAGAAATACACACACACACACACACACACACACACACACACACACACACACACATATATATATATATATATATATCCGATTTAATAAATTACAAACATTATATCTGCTTATTTTTATTATAATCCTTTCATAATCACGAATATTTTTTTCCGTATATTGCAATTAAATAAGACAAGAAATGCATTGTAACAGTGAGAATCACTTTTATTTCCCAAGTGCTTTCCATCTCTTTCTGGGATCATCATGTGTTCAACTGGTAAGGCAAAACTATGCGCATCTATCCATTACCGATGTTTTTTTCTTTTCCGTTTAAATACTACAGCTGACAGTTAAACTTTAGCGTTTATTAGAACGTGAAAAATTATCCATTATGGAATTTTTTATGTTGGAATGGCATTAAAGCATAAAAAATTCAGTAATGGATAGATTGCCTTATTCAATTGGAATATAAGGAAAAATATTCGTGAATATTAAAGGATTATGCTAAAAATAAGCAGATGTAATGTTTGTAATTTAATCAATCAGACATGCCTAAAAAAGAGCATTTTCTGCCTAAACACACACACACACACACACACACACACACACACACACACACATATATATATATATATATATATATATATATATATATATATATATATATATATGATCAGTAATCACAGTCGGAAATCGCCTTTTAGACGCATGAACTGTCGGATACAATGGGTTATGAACTTCTGCCTTAATTTGTTTATGGATATTGTTTCTTTTGGTGTTGTGCGTCTAAATAATGTAATTCTGTTGACTTGAATTCTTATTGTATGTTTTTCTATTTAACAGCACGAGTCTTTCATTATATACGAGGTGCTAGGCAAAAATTCGGATAATTGGAGAAAAAAAAAAGTAGTTCAATCTGTTATCGATAACTCAGTCGTGTCTCACCGGAACCTTTACGTATCTCGTAAAATCGCTCCTCCAGAAAATGAAGAATTGCATTTTTGAAGAGGCCATTTCGTACCGTAATATAAAAAATTTTGGATAGAATCCCAAATACCTAAGGACGAGGTGACACGCGAGAGTTCCGAAAACTGAAACAAATTTTCTTTCTAATGTATAATGTGTTTCCGGCATCTCGCCGAATAGATTCACGCGTCACTTGAAATTACTCACACACAATGGCCTCTTTTTCTATCAATTCTTCTATCTTTGAGGAGACAATTTTGCATCTGAAGTTCACCGAATTTATGAATAACACCTCGTATTAATGGTAATGGTAAAATAACTGTTTCCATACAGCAAGCATTTGGCATTAATTGACCAAAAAGTTTGTTTTAGTTTCACTTGAAATTTATAGCATCTTTTCATGAAAACAGTTTTAATGAATTTAAATTTTTATAGGAAAATTTGCAATATATTTTTATAACAAAATCATTCCCAATACATTTTAATGTAAAATCATTTTCAATGTATTCTTATAGTAAAATTATTTACAATATATTTTTATAGTAAAACCATTTCCAGTGCATTTTTATAGTAGAATCCTTTCCAATACATTTTTAGAATAAAATCATTTGCAATTTATTTTATATTAGAATCATTTCCAATGTATTTCTATAGTAAAAAACATTTCGAATGCATTTTTATAGTAAAATCCTTTCCAGTTCATTTTTATAGTAAAATCGTGTGCAATGAAT